AGCCATTGACTGAGCATACCTGAGAGCGGTTTTCCAAGTACGAAATGAACCATTGAAGCGCGACTCCTTCAATACCCGGGCATAAGAGTGTAGCTTAGAAAGCAGAATATCGTGGTCAACCGTATCAAAAGCGTTTTTTAAGTCTAGAAATACAACAGCATTGACCAAGCCCTGATCAATGTTCCACGTCCATCAGCTATCAGTAGCTTAAAGTAAGGCCGTAGCAGTTGAATGGAGTGAGCGAAAACCGGACTGATTCTGTGACGGCAATTTGTTGTCGATGAGATACTTGTATAACTGATTATAATCGATTCGTTCAATGATTTTTGCTATGTTTGGTATAACAGAAATGGGTCTATAGTTGGTGGGGTCTGTGCGTTCCCCAGAATAAAGCGGTGTGACTCTAGCTCTTTTCCAGTCCGCTGAAAAAATTCCAGTTTTTATTGACTCAAATTTCCGAAAGGACATTCAGCATCAACAATGGAACATGTCAGGTCATAATAACAATCCTAATGATATGTGGTCCCAGTGGAGGACATTGTTTTCTGCTGTGTGTRAACACGCCCCCCTTAAAACAAAACGGACTCGTACCTTAAGAAGCCCCTGGATTAACTCTGTCACTAAAAAGCGTGTGCGCTATAGAGATCGGCTCAAGGCTAAGGCTATAAAAACCGAAGATCCTAAGCTTTGGGATGCTTTTAAGAAGGTCCGCAACCAAGTACGCTCACAACTAACAGCGCACACGACAAGGAATAACACGGAAGACAAGCTTGAACTAATCAATAAGCAGCCGTGACGTGAGCGAAAATAGTTGTGATCATACTTATTTTTATTTGACTGCCTTAAAACCCTTCAATAAATATGAAATTAAAGGAGAATATTTGTAAAAGATACATCTTTTAGTGACTTCATTTAGAAAAAAATCGTTCGACTATTTTTTGAATGCCGCTTTCATTGATATTTTCTATCGCTTTTGACAACAAATGGGGTCATTTAGCTTCATATCAAAAAATCCATAACGTTAGAAAGAAAGTCACAATTTGATTCATACTCAATAAGGTCAGTGTCTATATCCGTACCTATATTCTAGCTACTAAAAATATTGAATCCACTAAATCAAAGTCCCGATTTTGAGGGTATAAAGATGACACGCTGGAAATAATAGTAAACGTCTATGAAAATATTCATCGCGTAATATTTGGAAAACGCTSTCATACATTTTTTTCATATTGCAATATGTTGGGTGCCTTGATGAATACTATCGACTGGTGCAAGTCGCTTTGAAAGTTAAGGTCTAGTTTTCGAGAAAATAAGCGGTAAACGATTTCTATGATGTCATCATTACGTCATAATGAAAAGGCTACTTTAAACTAATTTATCATTTTTGAAACCTTTAATCCTTTCCCGACATTGTGTGAAAAGCGCTTGCAGATCGAGTTATTCAAGACGAAGTTGTAGCCGTTTCAATGCGGCTATAGGTGTGCCAGACCAAAACTACCCAGAGCGTTCTATTACGTAGTGACCGTTTGTAATAGTCAGTGTATTGTAATGATTTATTTAGTATCTTCTATGAGGTAATGGGTGCATTGTGAAAGGAGAAGCTCACGAGGGCGTGTGTGCGCACCT